CTATACAGTTGAAGTCAGAATTGCAGTATTTGCCTCCCTGAATTATTAGCTCCCTTGTTTATTTTTTCCTATTTCTGTTTAACAGAGAGAAGATTCAACACATTTCTATAGTTTTAATAACTCATCTCTTATCACTGATTTATTTTATTTTTGTCATGATGGCAGTAAATAATATTTTACTAATATACTTTTGACAACAATTTTATACAGCTTAAAGTGACATTTAAAGGCTTAACTAGGTTCAGTAGCTTAAAGGGACTAATAATTTTGACCTTAAAATGGTTTTGAAAAAATTAAAAAGTGCTCTTATTCTAGCCGAAATAAAACAAATAAGACTTTCTCCATAAGACAAAGTATTATCAGACATACTGTGAAAATGTCCTTGCTCTGTTAAACATCATGGGAAATATTTAAAAAAGAAGAAAAAATTCAAAGGTGGGCTAATAATTCTGACTACAACTGTCTTTTCACAAGACTGTTATGGCATTTATAATGACACCTATGACACCTTAATTCTTAAAAAAATTTAGATTTTTTTAAAAACTGTAGTAACATTAATATGCATTTCTGTGTGTATTATATCATCTTTGCATCAAATTAAAAAAAATGAGTGTTTAATGCAGCGTCTATGGGGCTGAGAGTAAATTTGAAGTTATTCTCTCCTCTGGCTGCCGTCATCAGTCTCACAAATTTTTTTCTTTTTTTCTAAATGTATTGATAACAACATCGTGGAGTTTTCCTTTTATTATTTCAGCAAATAGGATTGTAAAAAAATATATTTGTTGTACTCTCCAATTCACTGCGCTCTAAGTTTACCCAACTAAGACGCCTGCCGCTACTGAAAAACCCAGAATGCTAAAAGGGTCTATAAATGGCGGTCCTGTCTTAAAGGGATAGTTCAACCAAAAAAAAAAAAAAAAAAAAACCTTCTGCCATCATTTAAAATTTTTGGAAAAGGGTAGTGATTGACTTTTCTTTTTTTGCTGTGAATGTCAATACCTAAAAGTGAACGTAATAAAGGTTTGAGGTCAGCAATTTCAATGAGAGTAAATGTTCTTAATGGAATTATTCCTTCAGTGAGTGAATCATTCATTTAAAAAATGTAATTCATTCAAATTGATTGATTCATTTAGAAGCAAACAGGTAGCAGTTGACATTTAGCAGTATTTCTTTTTGCTGTAAATATAATGGTTGCAGAAAAATGTCACTAATACAGGTTTATAACCATTTGATGTCAAGTGAATATTCATTTTTGAGTGAACTATCATTTCAGTAAGTTATCCACTAAATCATTTACTAAAAAAAAAAAAAAACATTGAAAGAGAATCATTTAGAAACAAAGCAAGAGACTTTATAAGTAAATTAGGGATGGTAAAAAATAAGACGACGTTTTGTTACAAATATTACTCATTTAATGTTAACTTTTTGTTTGGTGAACTATTATATAAAAACAACACTGAATTTGCAATCGTGAAACATTGCAATAATAAGTCCTTATAAGTCCTGCTCAAATTTGTATAGTAAAATTAACATAGACTGGCGACATGGTGGCTCAGTGGTTAGCACTGTCGCCTCACAGCAAGTAGGGTCGCTGGTTCGAGTACTTGCTGGGCCAGTATGTCCAGTTTGCAGAAACCATTTCCAGTTTCCCCCACAAAAAGCTGGGTTGCAGCTGAAAGGGCATCCGCTTTTTAAAACATATGCTGTAGAAGTTGGCGGTTCATTCCACTGTGGTGACCCCTGATAAACAAAGGGACTAAGCTGAAGCAGAATGAATGAATGAATCAATCCATGTAGATCAATCAAGCTAGGCATTGGCCAATCAGAGCAAAGTATGCTCTTGGAAAGGATAGGTGTAGAATGAATGAATCTTCAAATGAATCAAACGAATCATTTCACTCTGTTAAAATATAATATGGAAAAATAAAGTACTTTTTAGACCTTGGATGCATTAAATCTATTGTAGGAGACCCCTAAACAAACGATAAAAACAAAAGTGCTCTGATCATGGGTGTTATAATTGATAATGAATGCTGGTGACTGTAGTAACTGCCTGTTTTGAAAGCTCCAAATGTCATCAAAGTACAATCTCTCTTAGAACATGCATGAACATATCTTGACATTTGGGACAGGGCTTTTGCCAACAGTCAAATAATAAAGACAATATTACTTTTGAACTTTAATACGTGGGACTCAAGACTCTCATGTTTTTTGCCCTGCGTTGGCATGTTTTTGCTGAAAGACGGCATTTAAATTGTGTACCATTGTTCATTAATTCCTTCATAGTCTGCATTTTCCCATCTCCGAAAAGGCCAAAAACTTCATACATTTTAATGTAGCACTGTTTTATATTAAATGTCCAGTTCTCAGCATTTGGCAGACTGGAAAAGTATTTATTTATTAATCTATTTATTATTTATTAAGTCCAAGGCACTTGAAAAATTGCTGAAAAAATTGCTGAAAAGTCTTTATTGACAGTTTTATTTAATGTCAATAAGAACTTTTTAACTTGTTCATCTATTCTTAAGTGCCTTGGAATTATGCTTTTTTATGTATCTTTATGAATACCTAATCTAAAGAGCACCAACACATCAATTACCCCTGAAGCAAGTTAATTTTACTTCTGGCTGCCTGCTTCATGTAGCATGGAAAACCCTACTATTAGACCTATGCATTTCTTCATATGTCCATATGGAGCCGGCATGTACAGGAAATGGCATGCATTCCTTTTGTCCGATTGGAAAATAAACTCCAGTGTGCGCTTCCTGCAGAGGCGTTGAGAAGAGAGAAAAGAGGTGAAGAGGGAGAGGAACAGAAGCGGAGGAAATAAAGAGTGTAGTGTTAAAGTTAAACGTTAGACTCGAGGGTCTCCGCTGCGATCGTGTGGTCGTGTTGGCTTGTGAATCACACGGCGTGTTTCCTTCTTTTGTAAGGAAGATTAAAGCTCTTTGTGTTGCCACATACGTCCCCGCTGCTCTCCACCGCTTCCTGTCAGCGCACATGTGATTGTTTGACCAGTGTGTGAGTTTGCTGTTTGTCATATAGGCTTTGTGAACTTTTTATTTTTTGTGACAAGGCCAGCTTCCACTTTAGTTTGTGGAAAGTTCACCTGAGGCAGTTTGAGTCGTGTCCTGGTGTGACATTTATATACTCTCAAAGAATGACATTTGCTGTTTGTTCAAACTACTTATTTAAAAGGGAAACAACACAATTCTTGAGTTTTTTTGGGGGGGGAACCTAATCGTTCTATGGTTAATCCATTTAAGTTTGTTAAGACTAATAAGTTAGCTTAATTCCTTCATGTTGTCCCAACACAAATTAGTTGTATGTAACCCAGCATTTTTACAGTGTATTAAATATTGTCAGATTGTTTTTGTAAGTAATGATTCTCAGGTTAAAGAGTGATAGTCAGGGCTATTTACGTGGAATTATTTTGGGAGTATCAAATTTAATGTATACAATGCAAGTTTAGGGGCATCACAGCGGTGTAGTGGCTAGCACAATCACCTCACAGCAAGAAGGTCACTGGTTTAAGCCTGTGCTGGGTCAGTTAGCATTTGTGTGGAGTTTGCATGTTCTCCCCGTGTTGGTGTTGGTTTCCTCTGGGTGGTCCGGTTTCCCCTACAAGTTCAAAGGCATGTGGTATATGTGAATTGGGTAAGCTAAATTATGTGTGTGAATGAGTGTGTATGGATGTTTCCCAGTGATGGGTTGCAGCTGGAAGGGCATCCGCTGCGCAAAACAAATCAAGGATAAGTTGGCAGTTCATTCCGCTATGGCAACCTCAGATTAATAAAGGGACTACACAAAAAAAAATTTGAGGTCCCACTTTATATTAAGTGTCCTTACAATGTACTTACTGTGTTCCTATTGTATTTGAGAACACTTGTGGTGCTCTTGAGTTGGGATAGGGGTTGGGTTATGGACAGTTTTGGTGGTGTGGGTAGGTTTAAGGGTGGGTTAAGGTGAAGGGAATGGTCAGCAGTGTATTTACAAATGTAATTAAAGAAGTTAATTACAGATGTAATTACATACAGGTATTTAATCAAGCATAAGTACACAATAAATACATGTATAAACACAACAAGTACATTGTAACAAACTATTAATTCCTGTGTAAGTACATATTAGTTAATTTATTATAAAGTGGGACCAAAATTAATAAATTAATGAAATTGTCCGTAAACTGTAAAATAATGGCCGTTAAATTACAGACATTTACCATAAAATAACAGATATTAAATTGCTGAAATTGACCAGAAATTTACATTTAAGGAAATTTCTGTAATTTAATATCCGTTATTTTACGGTATATTCCCCACCCCTAACCCTAACTGTCATTGGGTGATGAGCAAATAGTAAATTGTATGAACTAGATTGTACGAATTCATATGGAATAGCCACTAAATCAAAAAGTTATGAATTGCTGTGAGATTGCGTTGGAAATAACTGAACATAAACATATGAGGTTAAGGAAAATGCAAGTTTTAGAATTTTCAAATTTTCAGACGGCACTTAGAGGTTTTTGCATCTAAACTCTTCGGATGTTTTTGTAAAGTTTTAGTTAAGCATTTTGATTTTGACATTGGTTTAAATATTCTGATCCAAATATATCACCTTATTCATTTTCATAAGAAAAATATAATAATATTGTACGATTTTCAAGTATGGAGATGCATTTTTTTATATCACCCTGGCCAAATTATGGCTGTGTTTGATGAGGTTCTTTCAGGCCAGGCTGTCTTGTATCAGTCATATGGTTTTGTGCAGCACTCTTTAATCCAGGGCTTCATCTTTTGTGGATGTGGCTCTGGTGCCCGACGGTCTGTCTGTCCCCGACCTTTTGTTTCAGCCAACCATAGCTGTGCACTTTCTCTTTTATGACCGTATTGTGTGGTGGGGATGCCATGTGATTTTCTTTTCTACTGCGTTTGAGGTGCTCGGGGGCCGAAAAGTTAAAGCGCGCTCATGAAAACGTGTGCTTTCTGTGTGTTTTTCAGGGGGCCGAGCAGGACAGTAGGATCTGTTGAAGTTTTGACTGTGGGTTTGCGTCTCCCTCTCACCCACGCTCTGTCTCCAGAAGCTGCAGGGGTTTTCGCTGAGCTGGCAGAAACGCGTCGCGACGCAGGAACAGAAATAAACTTGGAGAACTCCAACACACACACACGCACATCTTGTCCTCATCGGACCTCCAAGCGCAAGCTGTGAGGGATGAAATACTACAGCGTTGAGTAAGAAAAACAAAACAAAACAAAAAAATGATGGACTTTCCAAAAGGCTGACATGCTTTTAATATATTTTACGTAAATGATTGTTTGGGTTTTGGCCCCTGGCCCTTCATATAAGGGATTTATTGCAGTTTTGTGCGTTCCAAGAAAAATTAGGCAACGTAGCATATAAGGGCTCCATACATACTTATTTAAAAATGACTATGTAATGGCTTTCCATGTGTAGGTGACGTCTGTGGAACAGCCTTTAATAAGCCGTGAATCAAAAATGAGGGAAAAGGGAGCGATGAAAACCATTTCTTGACCGAAAACGCAAGGTAGAAGCTATTCTTTCAGCACACACTGAGACATCATCACATCTGCAGGGCTTGGGTTTCTGTGACTGACAGCAGGTTTGTTTTGGTTAATACGCTCATGCACATTCTTGCGTGTCCACTCGCGCAGATTTATGTGGTTTTAATGTAGTCGCCGCTCTGTGAGGGAGGCCGGGTGAAAGCTTTATGTCTGTCTGCTGTGATCCGTGGCATAAACAGTCTCACTGTACTCTGGAATCCCGCCACTCCTACGGGCTTCAGAAAGAGGGGCATTCAGGGTGAAGGGAAGGGGCAGCTTTTTGATGTGTTCTGAGGAGAAGTGTACGTTTTTTTGGGGGGCGTGATTGATTGATGGTTTAAGGTGGGGCTGTTTAATTGGTGCTTTCAGATTGGCGGTTGGGTTTATAATGGGGCTGTTTAGCTGGTTTGCGGTTTTGATCGGTTTAGGGGTTTTAGAGTAAGTTGTCTTTTATTTAAAGAAGAGCTACATTAGTTGAGTTTGTTCTTCCTAGTGGTTTGTTATCTAGTGCAAAACCCTTGACAAATCCAGCTGTTGGGTTTGTTTTTTTTTAAATAATAATTGTTATTTGTATTGTCTGAAAATATTGCTCCATTTTAAAAAAATGCTCTAAATTAAATTTTTATTAAAAAAAAAGGAAGAAATTTCTAGAATAAACAAAAATATGTTTTAACTGCACCCATAACTACAATCTTACATGTTCAAGTGATTTTTTTTATAGCTGTAGATTTCAGGTTTATCACAAAAACATGCAGTGATTATGAATACAAATGTTGCAATTTTTGGAGTGACCTTATGTAAGTAATTTGATGTGCTTCAATGAAGTGGGTGGAGCTACAGATCTCCTTTTTGTACTTTGCTTGCTCCTACACTCTGATTGGTGGAATTTTTAGTACAGCATCATGGGTAATGTAGTTTTTTTTTGCACAAACTAGTCATGCTTGTTTAAAATTCAGTGTCGAATAAATGTGTACAGATCAGTTCACCAAAGCCATATCAATGAACACCCTGAGAACTCATAGCAAGTCTGACTTCAAAGGTTATCAGTTTTTGTTAAAAATATATGTCCCTGTGGAGGAAATGAGTGAAGTTTTTACTTCTGGAACCTGACTGTTAAGGTCTTTGCACGTTGAAATTTCCATATGCATTTTTTGTATTCGTATACAAAAAATTTGTCTTGCTCAAAAACCTTGGACTGCGAGTTTGATGCAAATTAATGAATCCATTGTGAAATTAATTGCGACAATTCAGATTCAGTTCAAGCATTGATGCCTTGTTCCATCTCTTTTTCAAAATGGAAACTATGGAAGAAATATTGTGTTCACCTCATTCATTTCGTTCAGAGGAAAGGGAGTTAACCACCTTATCAAAGAGCTGCGCGAGATTATTCAGAAATTCAAAGTTTATTTCAGGAAATCAGTGGCATTTTGACACTTTGCTAGTGATACTGCAGCCACATATCAGAAATTTTTGAAAAACTAATTAATCCTGAGCAGTCCATCACATGTACAGTATTGACACACACAAACACATCAAACTGAGGCATAGGAAAGATGTGCATCAGGCATCAAAACCAGCTTATTGTTTTGTTTGTCATAAAGTTTTCTGTTCTGCAAGTGACGGCATTTTGAAATTTGGACTTTTGTTGTACGCTGGCTCTGAGTGGTCACAACACCTCTCAAAACTGTTTCTATGGTATGTTAAAAACTAAAAAAAAAAACTCAATTCTAACATTTTAAATGACAGAAGTATCAGAGGAAGGTCGTATTTATTTTTTTAATATAGAAAAACATCAGATAAATGTCAGATTGGGTCAGCAAGAACTTAACAGTCTGTTGTTTTTTGGCGTCTTTAGTAGTTTGTCTTTGATCTTCTTTATAAATTAGCTTTTATAATTCATTATAATTCAAACTTTTTAATGAAGGAATTTTGGAGGGAGATCGTATTTACTTTTTTTGTTTAAATATTTTTTTTATTGATTTTCAGTTTTTCAAAGGGAAAGAACAACAATACAAACCTCAAACCCATACCAGTCCAACAGCGGGGTAGCGCTCATATTAGCCAAAAATTAACAATTATACAATTGTACATGTAGGTTTAAATACAAATAAAAATAAATAATAATAATTAAAATAATAATAACAATAAAAACAAAAAAAAAACAAAAACAAAATTATAATTTATAATAATAAAAAAACAAAAAATAAATAAAGAATAAAATAAAAAAAAACATTTAATCAAGAAATTTTACCAACATATAACCATACACACCATATGTACAGCAAAATCAAATTATTTGAGATTTTCCACAAAATCTATAAAAGGTTGCCACACCTTAAAAAATTTCCCCTCCGACCCTCTTAATGAAAACCTGATTTTATCTAAATTAAGACAAGACATAATTTCTCTAATCCACTGAGCATGGGTGGGAGGATGAGAATCCTTCCATTTTAGCAAAATAGCCCTACGTGCCAATAAAGTCAAAAAAGCAATGATTTTACACTTTGAAGAAGGCAACTGTTTATCCTCTGAAGTAACCCCAAACAGTGCCACCTGTGGATCTGGATCAAGCTTGTGCTGAAGAATCACAGATAACGTTTCAAATATTAACCTCCAGAAATGCTCTAAGTTGGGGCAAGTCCAGAACATGTGAAAAAAAAGTACTAGTACTTGGAAATGAGATCGTATTTACTTGCGAAAACAATAGATCGTTGAGATCGGTTAGCTCGTTGAGTCTGTTGTTTTTTTGGCGTCTTCAGTAGTTTGTCTTTGATCTTTGTTAATTAGCTTTTATAATTCACTATAATTTAAACTTTTTATTGACTGAAGTTTCGGAGGAAGGTCGTATTTTATTTTTTAATTTACAAAAACATCAGAGAAATGTCAGACTGGGTCAGCAAGAACTTTACAGTCTGTTGTTTTTTGGCATCTTCAGTAGTTTGTTTTTGATCTTCATAAGTTATCTTTTATAATTCATTATAATTCAAACTTTTTAATGACGGAAGTTTTGGAGGGAAATTGTATTTATTTTTTAACATGCGAAAACATCAGATAAACATTTCAGACTGGGTTAGCGTGAACTTTACAGTCTGTTGTTTTTTTCAGTAGTTTGTCTTTGATCTTCTTTATAAATTGGCTTTTATAAATCACTCTAATTCAAACTTTTTAACGACGGAAGTTTCGGAGGGAGGTTAAATTAATTTTTTAATGCACAAAAACATCAGATAAATGTCAGACTTGGTCAGCAAGAACATTTACAGTTTGTTGTCTTTTGGCGTCTTCAGTAGTTTGTTTTTGGTCTTCATAAATTTGCTTTTATAATTCAGTAGAATTCAAATGTTCTAATTACGTACGTTTTAGAGGGAGGTTGTATTTATATTTTAACATGCGAAAACATTGGATGAAAATTTCAGGCTTTGTAAGCATCTGTTTTTGTTTTTTTTTTTGGCATCTTTAAGTAGTTTTGGTCATCATAAATTAGCTTTTATAGTTCATTATATTTATGGAAGGTTACTAGTCACATGACGTCTTCCGCTCTCTGTCTTTTCTTCCTTGTCTCTCTATGTTGCTGTGTGAGGGGTTTTGAATGGACTCGGTGGTGATTAACAGGAAGCTGAGTGTCTGAGTGGTGATTTGCCAGAGATTGAATGGCTTGTGGGTTGTCCAGCCACTGATTTTTACAATAGGAAACATTGTGCATAGGCATGTCTGACAAACATCCTTTTGTCTGCAGTGTAGAAAACAGCTGCGTGCGTGTAAACCAGTATTTGGGTGTGTGTGTGTGTGTGTGTGTGTTGGGTTTGAGAGAGTCAAAGTCCCAGACGGTCTCTGAGTTCAGGTCTGTCGCAGGTGACCTGTAGAAAGCCTTCGGGCTGATAACTGAGCTGAACTTTTACTTAAAGCCTGACAGCTTTCTAAATGCCTCTTTTACACACACACACACACACACACACACACACACACACACACACACACACACACACACACACACACTAATGCATGCATATGTGCTTTCTTTCCTTTGGGGGTTATTGAAACAATGTAACCAGTAGCATTCCTGAAGGTTTAGGGGTCAAAGGTTAAATTGGGGTTTACCTTTTTGTGCTTCAGAAAGCGTGAACTGGGATTGCATGAGTACTTGAACTGTTTTCCTCAAGGTTAAATGCTTGGAATATCACAATATGACATGTTTACTGTCTGGCTGACACACCTGTATTTGGACGGCCTGGAAATCCCCATGAAAGTGTCAGGAAAGGTCAATAATTATGCATTTTTTTAACGTTTATAGCAGTTGGGGGTATAGCGCTTTTGATGTTATCAAGTTTACAGTTTAAAGTTAAATATAAACACTGATGTCTATGGTAGTGATCAAAATGGAGTAAACCAAGTAATCTGAAACTTTGACTAAAGACTGTTACACGGGATGAGGTTTTTCAACAGATTCATTCAAAAACACTGATTAATAAGGAATGTTTTTTTTATGAGAAAATGAATAAAAAAATCTAAATCTATTAGTAATGCACAGAATTTTTGGTTGCCAAATATGATCAACCCAAAATGGCATTATGAGAAAATATGAGTCCCCCCCATAGCCCTGATTTTAATGGTGAAAAACTGAAAATTAAGGACACTATACTATTTATGTTTTTTGTTGTTGACATTGCTATGGTAATA